TGCGGCTGAAACGGACCAGCAGCGGATTCCAGGAAGCCTGGGGCAGAGCAACTCTGCCTCGGGCTTCCTGTAGTCAGCCGCTGGTCAGTTTCAGCAGTTGCTAACTTGGGGATGCCTGGGGTAGAGCAGCTCAGGTGCTGCTGGGTTGGTCCACAGCTGGGGCAGAGCAGCGGCGCTACTGGACCAACCCAGCAGTACCCCAGCTGCTCTGCCCCAGGTGTCCCCAAGTCAGCCGCTGCTGAAACTGATCAGCAGCTGATTCCAGGAAGCCCGGGGCAGAGCAACTCTGCCTCGGGCTTCCTGTAGTCAGCCGCTGGTCAGTTTCAGCAGCGGCTGAATCTGGACGCCAGGTCCAACTTACATACAAATTCAACCTAAGAACAAACCTACAGTCCCTATCTTGTATATAACCCGGGGACTGCCTGTACAAACTCAGAGGGAAAAGTGGCACCTAAATGATTAACAACACTTTTTCAGCACCTGTATTCTTAAGGGACATTTTTGATCTAAGTGTTGACAAAGACCAACCTTGCTTAACTTCTGCAATTTGACAAGACTAGAGCCTGATGTGATTTAGCAGCAGGTACATAAATTAAAGGATTTACTACACACACAAAAGACACATGCATGCATTGGCATGTCCATCAATATCCGCTCACAGTTAGGTCAGATGGCCTCAAGGCTATCTGAATCTTTTATGACCCTGGAGATGTATGATGTCACTACAGAGTGGCTCTGCCATTTGAAAGGAATAAAAAAAAGAGAGAATGACATTTTCAATCTTTTAACCATGTGCAAATCTCCTCAGAAGTTTACAAAAGAAAAGAATTGTACACACAGCTAGTCCCAACCTATTTATTTTTTTATTATCCTACATTTTCCTCCACTGTTTTTCTGGGTCATATATTTTAATTCTAAACTCTCTGTGGCAGACTGATACATTTCTATATACTGCCTATTATAAAAGGACTCAAGCCTACTTTAGTCCTATAAGTAAAGCTAACATATGTTAAATATAATAACAATAATAAAGAAAATACCTATAGCATTACGTCACCCAATCTATACGCAGCAGATGCACAACTGTTCCCTACAGTATGTTTGACTGTCTAGGTTTAGAATTTAGGACCAAATTCCTGATGTTTCTTGCTATCAGAAAGTTTCTTCTGATTTCTACTTACATTTTCCATTCTTAATTTAATTAAATTTCTCATATGCCATCCGAAATACTTACTATTCATTCCTGGTGTTTATATCCTTTACATATTTGTAGATTTAAGTCCCTGTCAATGAGTCTCTTCATTAGATTATTACTCAAAAAATTGTTACTGTTCTCCCAACTTTTGCTGTGAAATTAGTTGCATATTACAGCCCAACTGCAGAAAAAGCTAAGTATTTTACACCCGATAAGTTACATAACTCGTTCATACCTTAGTTTCCATATTTGTAAAATGGAGATAATAATTAACAGCCTTCACGCAGTCCCTGGAGTCACTAAGTTGAAATACAGCACATACAAAACAAATCACTATGAAAGCGTCCTTTTATCCCGTTCCTGCTCTACATCTTATGTTTTTTCAATCTCCTACCTTTTACATTCACCTCCTGAGAACTTTCAAAATGTTTTTAAAGGACCCATTCAGAAATACAGAACTTACATAACCTATCACCTCTCTGTGTTTGCTTCCACCTGCTGCACTGATATATCTCAGATTACAGTGTTTGAGAGTCACCATTAAATGTGAGGATCACAGAATTTAGCCCCCCACAAACTCTTCAGAAATACAGGTGAAAATTTAACACATACACACCTCTTTCTTCTCCAGACTTGTGTGCACAAACTAGCATAGGAAGCTGTCTCAAAAAATGGGAACTAATTTGTATATCTACCTAATGTTTATACACAAATAGGTATAGAGCACCTTCGAAAATCTAGTTTTAATTTAAAAACCAATTCCAATATGATGTCAAATGGGAACACCGCAAAGAATAGTAAAACTAACATGTGCCCCTTAGGAAAGCATATCAGGTACAAAGGCCAACTCTGGCAGCTACAGGACTGGAGTTTCAGACAGCAAGCACAGGGAATGTATGACCAGAATAAGGCACAACCCTTTCCCTGTAAAACAACTCTCTGAAGCAACAAGAATCTGCAGAGAGATGACTGCGAGGTAAGGACAAACGTACCAGCCTGAAGTGACTGGTAGAATCAGGGCTACTTACTTACCCAGCCCCCCAGCATGCTCAGCCATATACACAGAAGGAGACATGATCCCCACCTCGCAGCCTAATAAAATCACAGGGCGAAAAAGTCACAGTGTCGGTATGTTCTCCAGGCACCTGATAAGACCACCAGGCAGCCCAGGGAGATTGGGAGGGGGACGGGTAGGAGGAGGGATGCAGCCCAGAGAGCTGGGGGGGGGGAACTAAGTTGAAATACAGCACATACAAAACAAATCACTATGAAAGCGTCCTTTTATCCCGTTCCTGCTCTACATCTTATGTTTTTTCAATCTCCTACCTTTTACATTCACCTCCTGAGAACTTTCAAAATGTTTTTAAAGGACCCATTCAGAAATACAGAACTTACATAACCTATCACCTCTCTGTGTTTGCTTCCACCTGCTGCACTGATATATCTCAGATTACAGTGTTTGAGAGTCACCATTAAATGTGAGGATCACAGAATTTAGCCCCCCACAAACTCTTCAGAAATACAGGTGAAAATTTAACACATACACACCTCTTTCTTCTCCAGACTTGTGTGCACAAACTAGCATAGGAAGCTGTCTCAAAAAATGGGAACTAATTTGTATATCTACCTAATGTTTATACACAAATAGGTATAGAGCACCTTCGAAAATCTAGTTTTAATTTAAAAACCAATTCCAATATGATGTCAAATGGGAACACCGCAAAGAATAGTAAAACTAACATGTGCCCCTTAGGAAAGCATATCAGGTACAAAGGCCAACTCTGGCAGCTACAGGACTGGAGTTTCAGACAGCAAGCACAGGGAATGTATGACCAGAATAAGGCACAACCCTTTCCCTGTAAAACAACTCTCTGAAGCAACAAGAATCTGCAGAGAGATGACTGCGAGGTAAGGACAAACGTACCAGCCTGAAGTGACTGGTAGAATCAGGGCTACTTACTTACCCAGCCCCCCAGCATGCTCAGCCATATACACAGAAGGAGACATGATCCCCACCTCGCAGCCTAATAAAATCACAGGGCGAAAAAGTCACAGTGTCGGTATGTTCTCCAGGCACCTGATAAGACCACCAGGCAGCCCAGGGAGATTGGGAGGGGGACGGGTAGGAGGAAGGATGCAGCCCAGGGAGATGGGGGGGTAGGAGGAAGGATGCAGCCCAGGGAGATGGGGGGGTAGGAGGAGGGATGCAGCCCAGGGAGATGGGGGTAGGAGGAAGGATGCAGCCCAGGGAGATGGGGGGGTAGGAGGAAGGATGCAGCCCAGGGAGATGGGGGGGTAGGAGGAGGGATGCAGCCCAGGGAGATGGG